CTTGCGTGTGGCTGAGAAACCAGACTCCTCATATCCAGTGGGTGGATCAGAGCCAGTTGTCAAGCCAACCCCACTTAAGGATAATAAAGATTGCCCGTTGGACATTGATGACAGTTCTGAGCAAGTTGGTGTGTCTGGTGATAGCCAAACATCCGAGGCCTCAGAAAATGGCGAGCAAAGAGATCCGGCCTGCGTGAGAGAGTTAGATGTGAGAGAGCCAGTTGTTACTTGGAGTGGTAGATGTTCACGTCTCCCTGATAGACTCAACTTGTAGAAAGTGTTGCTGTTATTAGAAAAGGGGAGATGTTATGGGGTTGTGTTTGTTTTTAATCTTCATCTCTATGTGCCTCTATGAGGTATTTCTGATTCCTGGGTGTTGCCTTTGACGATGCTTTATAAGTGTTGTTAGTTAGTTTTACATCGTTAATAAAAGCATATCCGAAACAATAGTCTCCTCCAAACCTCCAACTACTGTTTGGCTGATTTCCAGCATATTATATTTGGCTGATTTCCAGCATAATCTCCTCCTGAGCACCCCCTATTGTTTGGCTGATTTCCAGCATAGTCTCCTCCAAACCTCCCCCTATTTTTGGCTGATTTCCAGCATATTATATTTGGCTGATTTCCAGCATAGTCTCCTCCAAAACTCCCGGTATTGTTTGGCTGATTTCCAGCATTTTCCATTTTTACTGGTTTCTATCATATTCTCCTCAAAGTCTCAAACTTTTATTTAGTTGGTACCCATCATCTCTTATTTTAATATATTTATCTATTATATGTCAGTTTCCCAGCATATTTTCCCAAATTAATTCTCAGTATGTTTCATAATATTAATCATTTCCAGCTTACATTGAATTAAATCACAATTTATAACTGAAGTCAGTGTATCTTGCAGCATGTTTTTCCAAATTAATTCTCAATAATCACAATTTATAACTGAAGTCTGTGTATCTTGTACTTACATCCAATAAAACATTAATCAATCATATTCACCAATCTGAAGTTTGTTTACAAGTTAAAGTTAAAACATATTACATCTAACAGTAAATTTTCTTGGAGTTATCTCATATTAGTATAAACTCTTATTTATTATCTTTAACCACCTAAACATCAATCCTCTATTTTAGTTACCATCTCTTATTTTTCATCCTTATTACTCCAAAAGCCCTCCTGTTTTTATCCAAAAATAATTTATATATTTAAGCTTTTAAACATTACATTTCAATTTTATCTACTTTATTTCTTCCTTTCCCTATCTGTCCATAAGTGTTCCACTTAAAAATCTATACATCCAAGTTGAAAACTCTGTGTGTCACTTTAATGCTTTGTAACATTTGTTCCATATATAACACATCAACTTCCTTCTCTTTTGTTCCTGCGCCATACCTTTTTCTTGCTAAGCCAGTTAATTTCAATTCAGAGTAAATCCAGAGTATTTCTTCTTTCTTCTTCATAAAATCACCCAGCGACAGAATAGGAATCTCCAGAGTCCATAAATCTAAAGTTAATTTCAAAATAATCCAAAGTAAAACGCCATTCAAAATGTTTCTTTTCCAAACAGAAGGGAAATCTCTTCAATCCACATTCTGCTTAGTCACCACAGACTCCATAGCTATTATGTAACCATCCGCCTGTCTTTCTTCATTCACTTTTCAAAGTTGTTAACTCCCAAGGGGGAAAAAAAAAAGAATGTTTCTCCAATCTATTCCAATTAAAAGAGAAACCCAATTTTCTGGTTCATAAAAAGCCAATTCTTCCAGATCAATTGTACTTAAATAAATTCTATAGTGGGTCTTTATTTCCAATTTTTTTTTCCCTTATGAAATCTTCAAGCCCCAATGCTCTGTAGCCGCTGTTTAAAATTTGGGGTCCTATTTGTAATAATCCATGCAGTTATGTTGTTTCTTGCCTGGGTTGGTGTCACTCATCCAGCTTCGAAAAAACTCATCCTTTCCTCTTCTCTCCTGCACAATTTTTTCACGGTCTGTTGAGGCTTTGCAACAGCCACCATGGCTGCCTACCCCCACCGCCGACTTTGAGGATTCCCTCTGGCCTCCGAGGAACTTGCCTGTTTCTCTTGGCCTTCCGAGGTGCTCCTCTTCTCCCCCCATCCCTACAAGATGGTGGTTTGTCAGTCGGGGTTTTTGCGGGCTTGTTAGAGCCCGCCATATCCCCGACTGTAGCACCGCAGTGCCAGACCGGAAGTCTCCATGGAAAGTTCTTAAACTTGTAGTTAAAACTTTTTTTTGCTAAGGACTGAAGAAAGCTTCCCCATTGCTATCAAATTTGTCGATCCGAAGATTCCTACTGCTGAAAAACTGTTAAGAAACAATTTCTAAAACTAATTAGAAATGGAAGTATGCAAATTTAGCGTCAAGTGCAGGAAACAGTTCAAATGAATATAAAGTTTTATTGCAAACTTATACTCTCTAAAAGAATCTGAACAGTAGTGGCCAAAACAAATTGGTGTAGACAAGAGTCAATGGAACTCAAAATGAGTTGGATTTAGATCTCTTGTGGCTGTAAAGGAACTTGAGACTGATGTTGTTTTTGACCCCTCCCTCGGGCTCAGACGAGTCATCTCCTACACTTAGTGATAAATTTGAGCAAGGTAGCTAATCCCTTGTCTCCCAAAGCTCTAAACTCACCACTGTTATGTGCTCTGTTCATGAGGAGCAGCTGCCTGGAACATTTGTAGGTGATCTCAAGACCTCTCCTGAAAAGGAGAGGAATTATTAAAGATGGTCTACATGCCAACTGTTCATTCCACTTCAGTTGCCAGCTCAGCTTTTCAGAACTGTCTTCAGTTTGCCATTTCTTCCTCTGAAAGCCATTAATTTTAATATCAATAGACACACCTACCTCTATGGAGAGGATGTGTCTAAAAGGTATTATGGAAGAGGAACACATTTGACCTGACAAGATTGAGACTGAATTGAAAGTGCATTTAGAAAGAAATAAAAAAAAAAAAATCAAGGTTAAACTAGACATGTTGTTATCTCTGGTAACCCATTAATGGACTTTTGCTGACATCAGGACTGAAATGATCAGATGTTATACCATATAGTCTGCAGCATTGCTTGTATACTGCAGTCTTCACATCCCTAGAGAAGATCAAGAGGACTTTCAGTGGGTCATCCCTTGGCTTTGCCAGTTGAGAAGTCTGTGGGTAGATTCTGGGCAAACAGAGATGGACCAATTCTTGCTGATTTATTGAACCCAAAGCAGCAGAAGAGCAATTCTTATTCTTTTATTCTAGGTGCCATTCCTGGGCATAGTGAGGCCCACAGGCTGTTGCAATGTAAGCCCCTGCTCTTTAGTAGTTGTGGTGTTGTGATGTCAGTTTAATAGTGGCAGAGTTTGCATCTCCATGTCAGGATGCCCTCAGATACCCCATAGATACTTATACTGGAACAGGTGACATTTGTGGATCTAATCCAGACGACCATTATCTTTGGAATCCTCTCTCCAGGTCAGTCCTGTTGCTGACCTTTTAGCCAAGCCAAAGCCACCTTTTCCACCTGAAAAGTTGCCTTATCCAGACAGCAGGAAGGAAATCCCAGAATGCATCCATCAGGGATCAGGCTTATGCATCCAGGCAAAGCCAGAAGCCTGCTGGACCCTTCACCAGGCTTTGCAGAGAGACTCCTATCCACACAGAGCAGCGGGAAGGGAGACAGGCAGGCAGGGTGAGTTTATATCTGAACTCTAATTGTACTGAAAATACTGGGGTGTAACCACCTAATGAAGTATTTAACTTCTATTGATTCTTTTTAAATAAAACTTGATGTGCATAATTATGGTTTAAGAACAAAAACTTCTTCCAGATTATTGTAGCGTTTGGGGCACAACATTGCAGCATCCCAAGTCAAAGCCAAAGTAAAGTTTGGATTGCACCTGATACATCTTACTTGGGACAGCCTTCAGAATTATTTTAATTTTTCACAATCTTGCAACTCAGCATGGAGTAGAAAAAATTACAAATCTACGATACAAATAATAAATGAAAATAGAATACATGAGTTATAACCAACAATCCACAGCCTTCCTGAAGCAATATTATCTAGCTATGTACCATATCAGCAATATTAGAAACAAGATGAAGTTAAATGGGAGTAAATCTCTTTAAGCATTCCTTCATCACGCACACTTAAGAGGGACATCAAGATACTGTATCTCTCCTGTCTTCTGCTTGCTGAGTAAAGGACCAAATTTTCTAAGCTTTTATTTAAAAAAGTCTATCAGCTAAAAGGAAGGTCCTTGTGTGGAGTATCTTTTCCATTAGTCTTTCATCCCAAGGCCACTATATTGCTTGAGGATTTCAATTTAACAATTTAAATTGTATTTTGTGGCGTAACATAGTCTGGATTTCCAAGGGGGAGGGGCTGCTTTCCAGAGGGCAAAGAAATGGCAGAGCTTGGAATGTCTGGTAGGCAGGAAGAGGGTGAAGGAGCCCCTCCCTGGCAGTTCACAGAGTATATCTATAGGTATGCAAATACAGGTAGTCCTTGACTTATGACCACAATTGAGCCCAGAATTTATGTTGCTAAGTGAGAAATTTGTTAAGTGAGTTTTGTCCCATTTTACAACTTTTCTTGCCACATTTGTTAAGTGAATCACTGCAGTTGTTAAATTAGTAACATGGTTGTTAAGTGAATCTGGCTTCCCTCTCCACTTTGTTTGTCAGAAGCAAAAAATGGTCACATGACCCTGGGACACTGCAACCGTCATAAATATGAACCAGTTGTGAAGCATCCAAATTAAATCACGTGACCACGGGGATGCTGGTCATAGGTGTGAAAAATGGTCATGTCATTTTTTTCAATGCCATTGTAACTTGGAACAGTCACTAAACAAACTGTTGTATGTCAAGGACTACCTGTAGTTCCTTGAGTCTGACAAGATTCTGGCTACAGTTAAAGAACAATAAAGGAAACCGCTCAGAAGTAATCCCACATGTCATTCTTGGGGCCTGAGCACTTTAGAGCAGATTGCTGAGGTTGTGATGCCAAGGTGATCTTTCTTTATTCGTGTCACAAGCAAATTATAGACATACAACGTTTAATACCGAGCCAGTAAAATAATGCCAAGGCGCTGAAAAAAGGCAGTCCTGCTTAAGAAGGTGGTTGGTTCTGGACCCACAAAATGTGAGAACCTCTTTCTTATGGAAGTAATCCATGCGTTTTAATTTAAGATGACATCTTGCAGCTTTTTAAAGGATGCCCAGCCCCACTTTGCTTCATTGAACTGCCCACTAGATATTTCTCATTTCAAATGACTAGCTTGACAAATGAATGGGGGAGCAGCTGTTGCCTGATCTGGGTGAACCCTCAGCCACCCTTGCAGAGGAAATCCAGTGCAACCCTTTGGGAACTTTCAGGATGATAGGAAGAGGCTTCCTTCAGAGCTGCAAGACTTGAAGCCGGGACCGAAGAGAGCAGCAGCGTTTGGTGGGCTGAGAAAGAAAAGGGCAGGATAAATGGGGTCATAAAATGCGACATGAACTTTTGGTATATGCCTTTTAATCAACCAATGTATTTAATGGGGTTAAGGTTTTAAATCATAGCACATAAAGTGAGAAAAGTGATGGGAATATGATTATGCGTAAATAAAGAATGTAATAAAAAGATTTTTTAAATGATAACAAAAGCGAGATGCACATAACGAGCATGACAGTGAATCTTAAACCCCCCAAATCCCCTTGTGGGTCTTATGATAAGGGGAGCTTTCCCTGTCTGAAAACAATAGCTTGTAATTATTAATTACTTTAATTACTGTTGGTAATCAAGGTTTTGATTTTATATTTGTTTATCATATTTATATTGCCACATATCTCACAGACCATGATTCTGGGTGGTTTACAATAAAAAAAAACCTCTAAAATGGCAATATAAAAACCAATTAAAACAATAATATATGATTAAAAGGCAAGGGTAGAGCATCAGATCTTACAGAAAATGGAGCCATCTCATTAACTCACCAGTCCCTTGAGACCCCAATGCCTGATGACACAACACAACCAGGTCTTGAGAGGTTTACAGAAATTTAAAAGCACCTATAAAGTATGGAACTCGGAGCATGTAACATATGAGTTTATACAGCACAGTTATATACAAATAACACAATAACCAGCTCCTGTTATTTCACAGCTGGCTTGAGATGCCTGTTGTGCAAAAGATTCAGTGAGCAGGTGCAAAATCCCCTTTGACAGTTTCTGCCAGATTCACAGTCAGTTTGCAGTACAGTGACCCAGCGGACTTATATTTCATCTGGTAGTCTGCAACTTTATTTTCTGATTATTTGAATTGTCAGGAAGAAGGAGACTGGTTTCTGCTCCCCTGGTTCTTTGCTTGAGTGACTCAGCCTGGTTATCCAAGTACCTGTGAATTTCAGGTCTTTCTTTGTCCATATTCCTCCCTCATCAGTTGCCCACCTCTTGTTGTATTCATACAATTTATTAACACTTGGAAGAGTTTCTTCTTTCCTCCCTTTTGGTCCAGTTGTTTTTTTCTCTTCACCAGGCAGAGTAACTGCCATTTAGAACTTAGAATAAAACAGGGATGGAAGGGACTGAGGAGGTCTTCTAGTCCAACCACTTGCTAGAGCAGGAGACCCTATACCATTCTGGATAAAATGCTGTCCATCCCTCCTTGAAAATCTCCATTGAGGGAGCATCCACAATTTCTGGAGGCAATCCATTCCACTGATTCTAATTGTCAGGAAATTTCTCCTTAAGTCTAAGTTCCATCTCTGTTTGAAAGTTTCCATTCTGTCACTTATTTTTCTGCCCTCATGTACTTTGGATAATTTAATTTAATTTAATTTAATTTAATTTAATTTAATTTAATTTAAATTTAATTTAATTTAATTTAATTTAATTTAATTTAATTTAATTTAATTTAATTTAATTTATTTAATTTAATTTAATTTTTTTTAATTTAATTTAATTTAATTTAATTTAATTTAATTTAATTTAATTCAATTCATATGCCGCTCCTCTCCAAAGACTCAGGGCAGCTCACAATACATTTTAAAAAATCATTATAAAAAACATTTAAAAATTAAAAACATTAAAAACATTAAAAACTCATTCACGCCATTCATGGCCGGATCACGCCAGATCACAAGAGTGAGATCAACGGCCCCAGGCCTGCCGGAAAAGCCAGGTCTTCACCACTTTTCAGAAGGCCAATAGTCACAGAGAAGGCCCTCCCCACGGGCCCGCCAGCCGGCATTATTTAGCTGACGGAACCCAGAGGAGACCAACTCTGTGGGATCTTACCAGTCACTGGGAGCTATGCGGCAGAAGGCGGTCTCGAAGATAACCTGGCCCTGAGCCATGTAGGGCTTTAAAGGTAATAACCAACACCTTGAATTGTGACCGGACACCAATAGGGAGCCAGCGCAGCTCGCGAAGAATTGGTGTAATGGTGCACCTAGGTGCACCTACGACAGCTCGCACGGCTGGGTTCTGGACACTTTTCAAGGGTAGCCCCATGTAGAATGCGTTGCAATAATCTATCCATGAGGTGACAAGGGCATGAGTGACTGTGAGGAGAGCCTCCTGATCCAAGTAGGGTCGCAATTGGTGCACCAGGCGAACCTGTGCAAAGTTCCCCCTAGCCACAGCTGTCAGATGTTGCTCTAATCTTAGCTATGAGTCTAGGAGGACACCCAAATTGTGAGCCCGTTCTGAGAGGGACAATTTTGCCCCCCCCCCAGAACCAAAGAGATTGACCTCTCTTCTCTGTGACAGCTTCTCAAATGTGAAAGACTGTTCCCCTCGTCCTCTTTGCTAAAGTAGATATACCAGTTTTTGCAACCATTCATCGTATGTGGGCAGCATTCGTATGTGGGGGGATGTCACTGGCCCCTTTCACTGTCGTGAGAGGGCAGTGAACCAGCTCCTGATATGAAGATCTACTTTGACCCAGTATTATTGGACGATCTGGTGAAGCCCTGACCAGTTGACTCTCCATCTCTGTTTTGTGCGATGTTTACGGCTGCTGACCTGCTTGCGCTGCGAGACTCCCCCCTCTCGCAGGTTTGGCCCTCCTCACTATCGAGGGCCTACCTTGATGACGGATTTTGGAATCCCGAGAGGTGGCATGCGGCGAGGAGGGGGTTGTGGGGTTTTTTGGGGAAATTTTTAGATAAGGTTTTAAAGGTTTCTGGGAGGGGGGTGGGTTCGGTGGGTTTGGGGGAGAACCTGTCGGGGAGGAGGCCAGAGCCGGCTGAAGAGCACGGCACTAGAGATGCGGGAACTGGGGTCAAGGAGGGGGTTAGAGCTTGTGTTATGGATGGTCATTACATCAGTACTGTGGGTGGGAGGGGCAGATATGGCGGGAGCAGGGGGCCACATCAGGTTGTGGGAGCGCGCGCCCGCTGGCTCCAAGCGGTGGCGCGCTCCGGCCTCCAATGCTCCCCTCGTTCCCCAGGTTGCACAGACCCTCAGGCCCTGGGCCTTCGGCTGATGCTGTGCAACGCCTGGTCCGTGGTAAATAAAGCCCCCCTCATTTGTGATCTTGTTCAGGAGGGGGGAGCGGACCTGGCGGGCATTACGGAGACCTGGTTGGGCCAGGAGTGGGGGGTCCCCCTTGTTGAGATGTGCCCACCCGGTTTCTGCGCATTCCATCAGCCGAGGACACAGGGGAGGGGCGGGGGGGGTGGCGGTTGTCATTAGAGAAGGTCTTGGTCCGAGGGAGGTCACTGTTCCTCAGACGGCTGGTTGTGAGTCCCTCCTTGTGAAGTGGGGTCATAGGGTGCAGATGGGTGTGCTGGTTACATACCTGGCTCCCTGCCACGTGATGGCAGCCCTGCCCGAGCTGCTCAACGTTATAGCCGCGGTGGCGGTTGACACCCCCAGGCTTATGGTCATGGGGGATTTTAACCTGCCATCCGTCGGTGAGGTGTCTGATGTGGCTCGGGAGTTCATGGCTTCCATGATGGCCATGGACCTGACCCAGTTAGTTCATGGCCCTACTCACACGGGGGGAAACACGCTAGACCTGGTTTTTGTCTCTGGTCAGTGGTTGAGTGATCTTTTTTTTTTTTATTGCAAAAGTTTTACAATTACATTTTCACCCCTTTTTTCACCCCCCCTCCCCAAACTTCCCATCCTCCCTAACCCTCCCTAACCCTCCCCCCCCCGGACTTCCCTATTATGTACTCATAACTAATGACACTGATATATAAGCTTGAACCCATCCCTCCCCCTGTATAATTTTTCCTCTTTGTCTCTTTACATTAAAATATTTCTAATACATTATTTTCAAATAAAAGCTATTTGATACTTTCTAGTTTGGTATTTGTTCTGAACATATTCTATCCACCTTTTCCATTCCCATTCATAAGTCTCTTGTGAACAGTCTTTTAAATATGCTGAAATCTTCGCCATCTCTGCAAAACTAGCCATCTTCAAAGTCCATTCCTCGATAGTGGGCAAAGCTTCATTCTTCCAGTATTTACCTATCAACAATCTTGCTGCTGTTATCATATACAATATCAGTTTTGTTTCACCCCGTGTAAAACCCTTAACTATACCCAATAAAAACAACTGTGGAGAGAATTGAATTTTTTTCCTCAAAACATTCTGCATGACCCACCAAATTTTTATCCAAAAAGCCTTAACTTTCCTACAGGTCCACCAAACATGATAATACGTAGCATCCAAACATTCACATCTCCAACATTTTGGCTGAACATTAGGGTACATACATGACAACTTTTTAGGATCTAAATGCCATCTATAAAACATTTTATAAAAATTTTCTCTCAGGTTTTGCGACTGTGTAAATTTAACATTCTGAACCCAAATTTTTTCCCAAGTTTCCAGCATCACTGGTTCTTCACAATTCTGTGCCCACTTAGTCATACAATCTTTAACTAATTCCGTTTCTGAATCTCTTTCTAACAAAACATTATAAAGCCTTTTAATATGCATTGGACCTTTCTCTCTTATATGTCTAACCAATTCTTCCTCATGCAACATAATACCAGTTTTTTGGTCCTCTTTCCATCTCAGTTGTAGTTGATTATATTGTAACCAAGTTAAATTAAACCCTTCATCCAACAGTGTCTGTAATGTCTTCAGCTGCCATCTGCCCGCATCTGTGAAAAGAACCTCTTTATATAAAAACCCCCCGAGTGACATTATATTTGTATTCCACAAAGTATGACCAAGATCCAGCCATAGCGGTATTTTGTAATCCCATTTGAGTCGGTGCTTCTTCCAAACTCTCATCAAAGAGTCTCTAAGTATATGACTTTTAAATACTTTATCTACTTTATCGTCGTAAAATAAATAAGCATGCCATCCAAATTCAAGATCAAAACTTTCTGCATTCAATATTCCAGTCTTTTTACTTCCAAACCAATCACTTGTTAAAGTTAAAGCTGCTGCATCATAATATAACTGTAGGTTTGGGAGTTTAAGGCCTCCTCTTTCTGGAACATCTTTACTTGGAAGAATAGCAGCAGTTAAGATGAACATTTTGCCAAGATTTCTGTTTTTGTTTCAAATGATTCCGGTGCTTAAAAGTGATAAACAACTGAAAGTTTGGCAGTCTGGTGTGAATAAGTTTGTCTGGAACGAGAAGAAGCCGAGAGTGAAATTGAAAATTATGCAAGATGTTCCAGAAAGTGGTTGAGTGATCTTGAGATAGGGGATATAGTGATCGAGCCCTTGTCATGGTCAGATCACTCCCTCCTTCGCTTTGACCTTCGAACCGCCGCACCCCGCTGCAGGGAGGCAGAACCATTGAGGTGGTACCACCCCAGGCGCCTGATGGATCCTGATAGGTTCCAGACGGAGCTTGGGCCATTTCCTGAGGCTCTGGCACACGGCTCGACTGAGGAGCTGGTGGCCGCCTGGGATAGGGCGGCCGCTGGAGCTTTGGATCGGGTCATGCCTTTGCGGCCTCTGACCCGGCGTCGATCTCGCCTGGCTCCTTGGTTCACCGAGGAGCCGAGGGAGATGAAGCGCCGGAAAAGACGCCTGGAGAGTGGTTGGAGGGCCAGCCATTCTGAATCTGACCGAACACTGGTAAGGTCTCATATTAAGACCTACCTGGTGGCAATAAAAGTGGCGAAGTATAACTATTTTGCCACTCTTATTGCATCATCAGATAATCGCCCGGCTGCCCTGTTTAGGGTGACCCGCTCCCTGCTCCACCAGGAAGCACGGGAGGACCCCTTGGAGGGTAGAGCCAAGGATTTTGTACAGTATCTGTATGACAAAATCGCTCAGATTCGGGAACATCTGGACTCTGACTGGGTAGATTCAGCGGGGAGGACAGAGGCAGGTCTTGTGAGTATTATCTGGGAAGAGGTTGATTCTGTGACGCCCGAAGACGTGGACAGGATACTGGGCAGACTGAGCGCAGCCACATGTTTACTGGACCCGTGTCCCTCCTGGTTGGTGCTGGCCTCTCGGGAGGTTACACGAGGCTGGCTCCAGGGGATTATAAATGCTTCCTTGAGTGAGGGTGTCTTCCCTGCCGCCTTGAAAGAGGCGGTGGTGAGGCCTCTCCTCAAGAAAC